GAAACCCTCAGTTTTCTTTAGCAAGAACACTTCCACTGCCAAGAAGGAGGAGGTCTGCAGGGAGCTGGGGAGGATACAAACAGTCAGTCAAGGGAAGTATTTGGGACTCCCAATGGTGATCACCCGAACTAAGGAACAAGTGTTTGGTTTTGTAAAGGATAATTGCCAGAAAAGAATTAATTCCTGGAAGAACAAGTTCTTGAGTCTGGCAGGCAAGGAGGTCTTACTTAAGGCAGTGACAATGGCTATGCCAACTTACTCCATGTCATGCTTTAAGTTGTCTTCCAAGCTGTGTAAGGAAATTAGTTCTATGATGTCCAATTCTGGTGGGGGGAATCAGAGGGGAAAAGCAAACATCACTGGTGTTCTTGGAAGCAAATGACTCAGGATAAGGAATGTGGGGGACTGGGATTCAAGGATTTGCAGTGCTTCAACAAAGCTCTATTAGGGAAACAGGTGTGGCGTGTGTTAACTAAACCTAACGTATTAGTGAGTAAGGTGCTCAAAGCCAAATATCATCCCAAGGAGTCAATCTTCAAGTGCAAAGTTCCTAAAACTGCATCATGGATCTGGCAGAGCATTATGGGTTCCAGAGAATTAGTGGAAGAGGGTGTGCGCAGGAAGATAGGAAATGGCAGAAGTACGCGGATATGGGAGGACAAGTGGATACTGGATTCTCCTCAAGGGAAGCCAACTTCCGTAAAGCCACCAAGCTGCCACCTTACTACAGTGGACCAGTTGATCTCCAATTTCAGATGGAACAGACCAGTGGTGTATAGGACATTCAACAGAGAAGATGCCACCAAGATTTTGAAGATCCCTATAAGTCTAACAGGCGTGAGGACTATAATTTCTGGATCCATAGTGGGTATGGACAATACACTGTGAGATCAGCAAATAAACAACTGAACATTCAAAATGCTCAGGCAAGGAGTGGTAATACGACAGAGGACAGCTCAAGTGGGAGTTATGATGGTAGGCAAGGTTGGAAGCAGCTATGGAAGTTGAAGGTTAAACAAAAATTAAAAGTTTTCATTTGGAAAGGTTTGAACAATGCACTTCCTGTTAATGAGCTCATTTTTGCCTGCACTAAGATGGGCGATCCCAGGTGCATAGGCTGTGGAGAAGAAGAAGAGACAGTGGAACACTTATTTTTTCGTTGCAAAAAGGCAGAACATGCTTGGAGAATTGCACTTGTACAGTGGGATGGAATCGAGGATCAGCGTGGATGTTTTAAGCGATGGTGGAATGCTTTAGTAGGAGTAAGATGCAGGAGGGAAGGTTTGGAACATATAGGCCTTACGGTCAACATATTATGGCAGCTGTGGAAAGCACGAAATGAGAGAGTTTACCAAGAAATGGACAGGCAACCGTTATAAGTAATACAAAGAGCCATACAAGAATGGGTGGAACATTTGACAGTGCTGGAAGGGAACAGGAGTCTGAGCATTCCAGAAACACTCGATGCAATTGAGAGTTCAGGTTCAAACACATGTGAGGAGGAGGGGATTAATATAGAAGTAGCTATATCACACAATGAGGATGGCCAGGTGGTGGGGTTCGGAATCATTGCGACAGACAACAATGGTCGGGCAAAGGTTACATGGCCCATGCGAGAAAGGAGCACAGGGATCCATCTTTTTGACTATGCAGAATCAGTGAAACTGGTAATGGCCAAAGCAAGAGCTCAACACTGGCCCACTGTAAGGATTGGAATCACGGATCCACAATTGCTAAGACAGCTACAGACAGGTACATCCAAGGATATCAGATTATTTGCACATGTGGAGGACATTAATAGTCTCAGATCTATGTTTAGGCAATGCTCATTTTATCTACTCCAAGATGAACAGATAGATAGAAGTAGACAGATTAGTTTATATGCCATAGGCATTCAGGTAGATGAGGAACGTCTGTTTCCTTAGTGTCTTTGTACACTATGTATAGTGTCTTTGGGTCTTTACCCATACTTTTGTAAAGCTGCTATAGTTTATCAATATAATCTCTTAATGTTTCCGGAAAAAAAAAAGAATAAATATGTAGTCATTATTTACATAATAAGATAGGCTAAGAAATAGTTACTCAGTCTACAAGAACTTCTATCTACTAGTATTCTTTGCACAGTGAATCCTTTATGGGCAATTAAGCATATTGTTATCAAAAACCTAACAAGCAATGTTGAAAACTAAGCATAGAGCATTTAACCTTGTCAAAGTCCCATGAACTGAATTGATGGTGGATCGGAATAGATTTTTATAGGAAAACTAAAGTGTTTGGATTGTGAGTTCACGCACAAATATTTTTTGGAATATTCCTTTCAAATTACGTTTTTATATTGTTAGGGTATCAGACTAATTATTTGAAAAAGAAAAAAACCAACAATTTAATAAAAAATAATATCTAACACGAATGATGAACAACACAAAAGAATTAACGTGGTTCAGCGTAATCACTAAGCCTACGTCCACGGAGAGAAAAACTTGTTCGTACTATGAGAGAAAAAATACCACAAGATTACAACTTGATTCCCAATCCCCAACTCTTGTATAGCCCTCTCACCTACTAAGAACTCTCTCACTCCTTTCTTGTTGTTTTTGTAGTATGTCAATCTACCTATTTATAGAGAACATTACTTGGCCAAAAAATCAAATAACAATTAGAAACCAATACTAATTCCTAAACTCATATAGAGTAAGAAATAACATCTAATGCTAAACCAAATAGGACTTTACTTGACTACTACTTCAAATAACTAAAATTTAAGTAGGAAACTAGTTACTTTCCACACCAAATAAGGATATTGACTAAAAGAAATTAAGCCAATTTCCTAACAAATCTCCACCTTGGCGAATATTTCTTTTAGCAAACACAACAAACCATCCAAAAAACTCCATTTGCCTTTTCCCACCAAGTACCTTGGTGCCTAACTACACACCCGAATCAATACGGTCTTGTTTTCAACTGATTCAATCGACAAATGAACATGTGTAGCTAACCGAGTCCAACATCTAGTTGACTCGCGAGAGGGGCCTCAATTCACCCTTTCCCATAGTAGGATTTTTCCTCTCACCACCATTTGTAATTTGAGAGCATCTTGGATCCCTTCCGCTCCCAATCCATTGAAGTGTTCAAATGGTACAGATTACCATACTTCTTCCCTATTAACAAGACTGTTTCGCCATGTGTGATTTTTAAAACTCCACCTGCAGCGGAAAAATGGTAACCCTCGGAGTCTGCCTGGCTCAAAAAGATTAGATTCCTTTGTAACTTTGGGACATAAGCCACACCACCCAAAGAATGAATCTCTCCATTCAACATTTTGATTTTCACCACTCCAACACCTTTGACTTGACAAGTCGATCCATCACCCAAGGACATAAAACCTGCCTTCTTTCTTTGGAGAGTATCAAAATAATCTAACTTGGAGCAAACATGTGAAACACATCCAGAATCTAAAATCCAACTATCAAGAGAAGAAGTATTATTACCTTTGGAAATTGTGAGAATATCTCTACTTGATGCATATCCAGCAATATTATCATAGTCATTCTCATCATTTTTCTTTCGATGAGAGCAATATCTTTTGATATGGCCAAACTCATCACAACCAAAACATTGGATTCCACCCTTTCTCTTGGCCTTTGAAACCACCTGCCTTAGATTCACCACCAAATTATTTTCTTTTTTTATTCTCACCTCGAGCAATTAAAGCAATTTCTTGTGTCACATCTTGGTTTGCCTTCCTTTGTTTTTCATGATCCAACAAAGAAGACTGCACATTCTCGAACTCTAAAGTGTCCTTGCCATATAACAGGGTCGTCACGACACTTTCGTAAGAATCAGAGACTGAAGTAAGAAGTAAAAGGGCCTTATTTTCTTCCTCAATATCTACGCCAACCTTTTGGAGTTGATCCAAAATTCCGTTGAACGTATTCATGTGATCCATGAGACTGCCACCCTCCACCATCTTTAGTGCATAAAGTTGCCGCTTTAGATGCAACTTATTGGTTAAGCTTTTAGCCAGATAAAGCTTTTCCAATTTTTTTCAGAGGTCTGCTGCAGAATCTTTCTCATCTATCACATTATTTATGATGTTGTCTGCCACATAGAGCCGAATCGTGCTCACATACCTTGTGTCCAACTCCTCAAACTCATCATCATTCATGCTCTTTGGCTTCTTGTTCTTTCCATTCAACGCTTTTGCCAAACCTTGTTGAACTAGAACATCCTTCACTCTTTTTTGCCAAAGAGTAAAACTTGTAGTTCCATTAAACGGTTAAATTGGAAATTGTATAGTTCCAAACCCCATGGTATACCACCACCCACTCAATTTCAAATAATTAACCAAAACCCTAACGGAGCTCTGATACCACTTGTTAGGGTATCAGGCCAATTATTTGAAAAAAAAAAAACCACAAACAATTTAATAGAAAATAATATCTAATACGAATGATGAACAACACACAAGAATTAATGTGGTTCGGCTTAATCACCAAGCCTACGTCCACGGAGAGAAAAACTTGTTTTTACTATGAGAGAAAAAATACCACAAGATTACAACTTGATTCCCAATCCCCAACTCTTGTATAACCCTCTCACCCACTAAGAACTCTCTCACTCCTTTCTTGTTGTCTTTATAGTATGTCAATCTACCTATTTATAGAGAACATTATTTGGCCAAAAAATCAAATAACAATTAGAAACCAATACTAATTCCTAAACTCATATAGAGTAGGAAATAGCATCTAATTCTAAACCAAATAGGACTTTACTTGACTACTATTTCAAGTAACTAAAATCTAAGTAGGAAACTAGTTACTTTCTACACCAAATAAGGATATTGACTAAAAGAAATTAAGTCAATTTCCTAACATATATCACATGCATTGCGTTGATATAATATATTTTGCTATAAAACTCCAAAAAATTGCAATCCAAATGGAACATAGGGCACATAGAACATTCAACTCAGAATATGAATTTAAGCAGAAGAAATTTACCTCTTGTGTTTGGATATCATTAAGGAGTCGTCCAACTGTGGAGGCATGCGTCCATAAGCTTTTCATTTCTTCACTGTTTAAAATATCCTCTGATAATTTTGGTCCAAGAAAATAAGCTCCCGTAAGAACGCAGATTTTGGCCCCAATAGTTGTGCGTCCAACAGATAAATATTCATCAATGGTCGGTGCTGAGTTTTCTCTCCACCAGTCTAGCTCTGTCAGCATACCCTCCAGCAATTCCTGCCACTGTATGAAATTGCAAGCAAATAATATCCAAGAAATAGGACTATACCATTAAGGATTGTAGAATATATTCGTATTTTACCATGCTAATCAAGTCTTGCTTTATGCATCGCCCTTGGTGAACAAAAGCTTTTTCAGCAAGCTCATCTACTGTGTTGTAAAGTGCCAAAAGGAAAAGCTTGACTTGCTTGGAGCAACATTGAGTGAAAGAATTCTTGTCCCATCTATATAGGAATATTCATCAAAATTGAATGGACACATAGTGTAGTCTGGTAATCAAGAAGTACAAAGTACCACAAGAGAAAGGGACAATGTCATCTTGGACCTCTAAAGTACCTGCCACAATTTGTATAAAGTTGTGATTTGTACAATTTTCACCCTAATGTCAATTGTCCATTTTGATTGCTCCAGTTTTGGTTTAAGTATATGGCACTCACTAAGATCACAACAAACATTCCATTTTTTTTTTTGCATTTTTTGGATATATTCTTTGAATTTTGTTTTACTCTCTTGAGAATGAAACTATAGCATCATGTTTTTTTTTTGGGCTGTCATTTGATGCATATGAGACTAATGGGTGATTTGAAAAAACCTGTTAAGGGAATAGTATGAAAATATTTTGCTTAAAAATGGCCAATCTAAATGCATGGTTTCGGCTCAAATATATCATTGAGTTAACATATTGGAAATCAAAAGTTGTACAACTTAATAACAAGCTGCAAGAAAGAAAAGAAGAAAAAGTCGATAAAGTTGGAAGGTACTAACTTTTTAACCAATTGGATAAGGTTGACTAATTCCTCTCTTGGAGCACAATTATCAAATAAATCATCTACCACTGTGACTAGGACACAGGTCTGAGCATATGAGATTCGAGCATCAGATAATTCTGGCTCAAAGGCATCAGCAGTAATCATGAAATAACTCGATTGTAGAACACGTTTTGGGACTCTTGAACTCTGCAATTCGTTCTTTTCGTACCATCTGCATATGACAATCGATTGGTTACCTAAACTTTACACAACAGAATTTAGTTAAAGGGGAGCAAAAGAGAAACTACTTTGGAGATGAATTATCAAAATTTTTCTTTACTGCGGAGGATTGAGAAGTAATCATTGTAATATGTGGCAAAAGGTTATATTGGCCTTACTTTAGAAAGGCTTGAGGGTTAACTATGTCAATGGTTCCATAACTCTATGTGCATTGTCACTTCGATTCTCAATCTTTCAACTCTATCCCCAAAAAAAAAAAAAAAATTGATAGAGTTGAAAAAATATAAATGTTTTTATTTGTCATCAAAATGTAAATGTTTGATTCACCAAAATTACACCCAAAATTGTTAAAAGAAGTTCCATAAATATTTAAATCTGGGGAGAATATCCGAAATTAACAAACTCTGTGGGAGGAAAACATAGATTAATTTATCAGAATTACGGTGGGTGACCATTTAAAGACAAATCAAGAAGTTGAAGGACTCAACAACAGGCACAACAAGATTTGGATGACTAAAATGACACTAAGCCTATACTTTATGGACCGCTGGAAAGTCATTATTAACTCAATAGTTAAATAAGAAGAATTCACTTTTATGATGTAAAAATATTTCTAGAATACTTCTTCCAACCCCCTAAAAAAAAGGGAAAAAAAAAACATAACCTCTTCAACTACGTGACGCTAATTTAAAAAATAAAATCGTCAATAGACAATTTCTTGAAAAACCCATAAAAAGACAAAAGATGCAAATAATAAAAGGACATAATTACTCATTTTCCCATCAATTAGCACTATGTACAAACTTTGCAAACATGCCTACCTTTCAAGTATTTGGAGTTCAGCTTGATGTAGGGCCTGACAACTGTTAAAATTTTGTATTGCCAAGGTCAGAAGGTCTCTGTTGGCAGTGTTGAAGCACCCAGAGTAGCAGAAAATAGGTTAATGATCTCCTGCAACAATTTGGACACCGCCTACATATATATGGCAGTTAATTTTCAGAATATTTACCTGTAAGATGTTTTAAGAATGTGATGCTTGTCAATGTCATATAGCTCAATACATCTCCTGTTCAATACCCGCGCTAACGTGCCATGATAATTCTTGAGAGTAAACTCGACCTAATAAAGTTAAATATTAACATGAAGAAGATAACAATTAATTATTGTGGTGGGCAATTAAGGCGTCAATATCATCTTCAAATTGTCGTGCTAATGTGTCATTTTATTTTTTTTCGCTTTCTAGGTCATAAGGAATGGTGTGCACAGTGGTGTTATGAAATCAATTTGACAGAAACCAAAAGAACAATTGTTTGTCATTTTTCAAACATTTTTGTTCTTTTTTTGTGAAACAACGGGACTAAGAGTGAACAACCTAAAAAGATGGGCAATAACCCACAAAAGTGAGACTGGAATTTGGTAAGACTAAAGACTGAAGTTCGAAATTTTGATAGCTGAAAACTGCTGATGAACTAGTTTGCTGAACTCACAACATCATATTGTAGGATAATACTGATTTGAGAACTGAATTAAAATATTTTATATCATATATACATATGGTTTAATAATAATAGTGCTAACTTACTGTACACTAATACAACAGCACACATGAGAGAGAGCAAGAAAATGCCTATGTGTGCGAAAAATTGTGTTTGAGAAAAGAAAAAATGCATATGGTTTTTATGTTTGTGTGCATGTGAGAGAACATCTTTGAAAGTATTAGTTTGTCTGTTAGAGAGAGTATATTTGTATGTACGGAATTGTGTGAAAGAAAAAGTAATGTTTATTTGTGTCATGTGTGAAACATTAACTGAGTAAGTATTACTATCTTAACTTGGACCCTAAATTTTGCATACAAGCTCTTAATGTAGCTACAGGTAAAAAATTTCTGTTATCAAATAAATTTAATGAAATAGCTATAGATGGGGTTATCAAACAAGTGACATCTAGAAAATTATATATCTTCATTCTTCTGTTTCCGGTGACCTAGAACTCAAGTAAATTAGAATATAATTCCCAATTTGGAGACTTAACCTAGGACCTTTCTTTTTAAGGGCTCAATCTTGGTTGTTTCTATCGCTAGATTAAGACGGTAAAACATTAGTAGTGTGGCTTGAAGAAGATAAAATAAGCTCATTTTCACAAACGAACTATTGTGAGCAATTGAGTATGTTGAACAGTAATTTCATTACCTCTTTATGTAACTTCTTGTCGTTTATGGACTGATTTAGCAACTGATCCTTCAAATAAGTTGTTGTCCAAGCCTGGATTCTCTCAAGAGGTTCTTCATTTGGATATATAATCAGCTGGGAAGCTTTGTACAACTCCAGAATAGTAGTCACATTTGTGAACATCGGGCTTACTGTACTGAAAAATAATTCTTCATCTACGAAGTTCACCAGTTCATCTGTTGTAGAAATTGAGCTAAGCCAATTTTTAATCAGAAAAATTACATTTTAACTGATCAAATTTTCTCCGTACCTGCAGAAACATGGTATCCTCTTAATCGTAGAAATCGAAATGCCATGGCACAACAAGTGACATCATAGAAAATCTCTTCATTCTTCTTCTGCCATGACCTGATTGTTCAGACTTGACAATTTGAGACAATCATACAATTAGTTGTACAATTAATTTGGCAAGTTACTTAAATTCTTGTAAATTTTACTTGTATGTTTCATCCAATATTCTTTCTATTTCACGCCTGAAGTATGGTTCCAATCCCAACTTTTCAATTGTGTCTATGAGTTGGAGCCCAAACGTTAACCTCAAAGGACAAATTGGGGGAACTGTGATCCCAAATAAAAAAATGTGAGAAAAAAAACGGTCATACAATCTTCAGGTATAAACTCGATTTACCACCAAACAAAGGTTATTGTTTTATAAATGACGCAAAATTGCTTTGATGTAAAGAATATGTGAATGCAGTAGAATAATGATTTTTTACTCAAAGAAAGTTAAAATATACATTTAAAATTCAGGGTAAAATGCATAGGTAGATTACAGTAACACTTTATAATCGTAGATTACCTGTGTGAAAATATATTTACGTATTAGTCCCTCTTTGTATTTATGTAGATAATGGATGCAAATTTAACCATGGCAACTTAATAGGAATAGTGGAAGCATGAAGCATGAAGTTAAAGTCAAGATGAAGTCATTGTTGATGCCCCATTAGCAATGGATATTTGGGGCTCATATCGTTACTATGACAGCTGGATAGTTCATTAAGAAGGGAAACACATAGAGTGAGGGACAGGAACTCTGTCTGCGTAGCTATTCTAAAATAGGTTGGGCTAATTTCCCAGAAAAACGAATCTAATTTGGATGAGTTTGTACATTCACATGACGAGTTAAATATAATTTAAATGTGCTATAAAGTGTCCCAAAAGATTCGCTAGAAAAATCCTTGTATTTTTTTAAGCACATTGAAAATCATTAAAAATATTTTATCTCTAACATTTAACTTAGGAAAGCAGCCCCTACTTTTCAATGACAATAGCACCTAAAATAGGGATTTATGTTCTTGCCCCTTGGATAGTTGTTAATAGAGATGACAATGGATAAGGTAAAATTCGAAATCTGCAGATACTCGACCCGTTGGTTTATTCATTATAGTTTGGCATTCGTGAGGGGTCACTGATGGAGAATCTAATAAGATTTGGTAAGAGAATCCTAAAAATTCGAAACTTGAAATCTAACATACATACATACATACATTCATATGTGTGTATATCTATATATATACACACACACACACACACAAATCACAGGCATTTTACACTTCACAAATGCTGAATTCCTCTTATATAGGTTGTATGACTCTACCAAAATTTTAAATTTAATATAATGTGTTGATTTAATATTATGTATGTATTAATTTTAGTTTGATAATAGTTAATTACCTTTTTTCTGAATTATTCAAATTAGCAGGCAGAGGTACCCGATGGATAATTTGAACCTGAGAGTGAAAGGGTTTGGTAATGGAAGTTAAAATCGATAGGGTTTTACCAGATAGGGTTTGGTAAAAAATTTAGCTATATGGGTTAGAATTTGGTGAGAGGAATTTTTGAAAATATCCAACCCGCTACCATTCTAGGGATAAAGCATTAATTATTTGATTAATTCATGACATGATATAAGATTGTAGTACTATATCGCTAAATCCCATGTTTGGAATATGGGAGTACCAATCCCAGATAAGTGAATTAGACAATAAAATTGGGACAAAATAAATCCTTAGAGGAGACATGACTATTTATCAGGAACGACAACTAAATGGGATGAAAGTGCTAGATGGCATGTCGCTTCTCCCATTAAAGTCATTTAGTAATTCCCACGATTTTTTCACAGTACATGACTAATATGATGTGTGATTATTTTCAAAATTTTCGAGGAATAATCCACTAAGAACAAAGTGTGAAACAATTTTCTCTAATTAAATGATAGATCCAAGATTAGCAATCTCAAGATAATTAATTCCAAGACTACTCATCCTCTTTCATCCAATATGAAACCAAATAAGTGAACTTCTCACCTCCTCGCCACTTTCGCAGAGAAAGCAGAGAGCCTAGCCTGGAAGAAATGGAATCTTCAACCAGTTGACAATCCTTTGAGTCTAAGCTCCATGATCCAACTTCTTGTTTCTTAAGATCCCCGGACGGCAGCATGGCCGCCCATGTTGTGTCATAAGCAGATACTGATAATTCAACTTTGTTCAGTAACCCTTGTATAGTTCTAATTGATCTTTCTGTATCCTGCAGAGACCAATGATTCTTTTGAGCACACAATTTTTTTCCTTTACTGGAAGAGTCTGTACAAGTGGATGGTTCTTTTAAGTTGTTTTCTAAGTCAAGATTTTCGTTACCGATGAAAAACTGAAGCTGCATGTTACTGATGCTCGACCGAGATCAACATCTGCGAAAAGAAAAGAGGGCAGAATTGCTTACCAAGGCAATCTTTGAAAGATTGTGAAGTGGAACAAGGAATATTGCGATCAAATGACCGAGTGATCTACATGAAGGTTTTGATCAAATGGTACCACTTACACAATGGAGACTTGGGGAACTTGATATTGTGATCTGGATAGGGCATCATCATTTTGTTTCTGCAAGCCATCACCATTTCTTGATGAAGAGATGAAAAGTGAAAGGTTAGAATCTCATAGCAGAAATTGGTAGGATAATGTGAAAACTGAAAAGGTAATTTTAGTGGTTAAATTTCACTACATGTTTGTTTTATTTTGCTGTTGACACATACGGCCCAATTCCACCAAACTTTATCCTAGCAGGAATTTTTTATTCAGGTGGTAGAAGTGTGTGTACATGATTGATTGATAAGATAATTTCATATACTTTCCCTAAAGTTTCTGATAATTGCAGGTAGTTACATTCAAGTTTTTAAAATTAGACCTATCTCCCTTGCTCTTGCGGTATAAATAACAATGTAGACCAAAATGCTAGGTTCTCCTCAAAAATCCTAAAATAGCATTGTGGTTATAATTAGAAACACCAAAAAAGAAACGAAAAGAATGGTTCTCCATATCTATTTCATCAGTTCATTCTTAATACGACTGCTGCAAAACCCATTACCCTGCTAAATCAATTAAGCAAGCACTCAACTCAATCCTAATATTTTCAAGCAACGCTAGCAGTTCTAGCAATTTTAGTATTCAACCAAACCCATTCAGCAAGTACTCAACTAAATTTCGAAATTTCCAAGCAACTCTAGCAATTCCAGTGATTTCACCTATCCAAAATCCTTTTGTTACCTAAATTCTGCTACAAATTATTAAATCAAGTAAAACCGCTAGGGATTAAGGTAGTGCCATAAGTCTAGAAATCTATAGCAGTATGTCAAATCTGTATAAGGTAGTGCCATAAGCCTAGAAACTGGCTTAGGGGTCCAAAGTTGAAACAAAAATAAGTTATGGATGCGAATGTGAATTTGGCTTGTTGGTGAATGGTTAGTGATATGCACGTTCGTAGAATGTAAGTTAATGAAAGGGTCAAAGTGGGATGAAGATGAAAGTTTAGCATGCAATTTATCTAATATTGAAATCCAAGGTTCAAAGTGAGAATTAATTTGAATTAAGGGAGTGCAAAATGGAAGTCCTTTTTCTTTTTTTTTTTTTTTTTAACGGAAACGTTAGAACTTGTATTGAAATCAAAGTAAGTTATACGACTTGAGCAACGGCCCATGCAAAACTTTATAATTATGTCATTCGACACTGAGGATTTAGATATTCCTCATCTTGCACTAAAGTAATAACATACATGCTAATTCTTCTACCTAAACCATTACACTGATTGTCAGCCAAGCTAAATGAGCAATTTGGCGCCGATTAAGAGTTAACTATTATTCTCAATTGGGAACAAAACAGATGTATTTTACATGATGCTTGATTACCTTCAAGATTTTAGCTGTAAGACAATCTTCACACCATTCACCAAGAAGCAGTATACATTATTTATTCGAAGGCCAAGAAAGGAAAAAAGATATAGTCTAAGGAGTTGCTAGATCTTTTTTGCCAGCTTTAAAAATCTGTTCAGTTGGCATGTGAACTTTTACTCTAGAAAGAAGCCATAGAATAGCGAGAACGATTTGGCGTCAGGAATTGCTGAGCATCCACTTGCATGGAACTCCGGGATGTTAAACGACAAGGGACCAAATTTTTGTATATACTTCTTTCGTCCCATGTATTTGCATCTACATGCTTTTGGATTTGTGTGTCCCAAAACTATCATTCATCGAAATAAACAAAACAACTTACCACTTTGTAAGTGTTAATATATTCATGTAATTGATGTGGGTTGAGAACATATGTTTTATTTGTCAAAGAATAAGAGGCATTCAATCTAATATGTAAATTCTGGTGTAGTAATTTGATAAATGAAATGATATTCAATATATTGCTGAGCATATTTATATGTCAAAACGTTGCAATATTAAATTAAATGATTGTACTTTTGCAAAGAAATAAATAATTTGATATGTATCCTCATTAATAGAATGAAAAAGAAAAAAATTTAAAAACAATGTGCGCTACAAAAATTTGCAAATTGACTTATTAGGGCAACAAAATAGGAGTTTAGAGTTTAGATAAATATATATCAGGACTTGGCTCATTTGTACTGGATTTTCCCTCAATTTTTCGCAGTGCATATTTGGATGCATAACACGTATTTTCAATTATTAACAAAGATTACAATTAGTCAAATTTAAAATGATCATATTCCTTTCTAATAAATGAAAACACATGTTATGTATCTAAATGTGCATTGTAGAAAATGAAGAAAAAATGCATCCCAAAGGAGCCAATCCCAGATATAGCAATTGAGCTATGAGAAACTTCGTATCCCTATCTCAGAATATTGCCTATGAAACTTTTCACGGGTAGAAACCTTTAATTGCAATGCCTAATTTCCTCGTTAAAGAATTTATTTCATCACACATTCACACCAGGTCAGGAGAGAGTACAGGATTTTGGCAACGAATAGGATACATTTAAGGGATAATTTCAGAAACCTCCCTTGAGGTTTCTAACAATTTCGCTCGACTCCCCTCAAGTTTAAAAATTACACTTACCTCCCTTGGCATAGTAAAATACCTATAATGCCCTCCACTTGATAGATAATTTTAAAATTAAGGCAATAAATTTACAAAACCCAAAAAATTCTATTTTTCTATCTCTTGTCTATTTTTTAATTAATATAATCTCTTTTTATTATCTTTCAATTTTGTGGATATTAGCAAATTAAATTTTACAAAAGCAACGAAAAGAGCAGATTATGTGCCAAATTAGAAGGAAATGAAGAGACTTGCAATGATACAGAAATAAATAATAATATTAATGATTAAAATAGGAAGAAGAACTAAAGATGTAAAATTTGTCATATTTTGTTTGTTGTCAAGAACAACTTTTATAAAATTTAATAATTACATAAGGATTTCTTTCATTGAATTAGATATTTTTTATTATGATTTTATTATGGAGGTAGTAGAATTTATTCTCTAGTTTTGAAATAATAATATTTTTAAGACCATAGGAGGATTGTAATGACGGTTTTAGGTCAGATTAGCTTATATTGAAAAAGTATTTGAGCATTGATATTTAATTTTAAGTACAACTAGTTGTCAATGGGCTTTGTGTGTGTGTGTGTTTTTTTTCTTCTTTTTTTTTTTGCGTGGCAGGTATTGATCGGCTACTATTTTATATGCAATTTAAGATTTTTTGCACAGCTACTTGATTTCAGAACTTATACTTGGATGGTTTTTAGGAATTAGACTTGTTGATTTATGCAAAGTGTAGAAAAAAATAATTGAATATACTATGTTTTTCTTTGTTAGTTTTGTATAAAAGGGCAATTTAGGATTTTTGTAAGAAAATCTATCTTATTGGACCTACATTATTACTAAACATTAAAAGTAGGGGAGGTATATGTAATTTTGAAAAGCTGAAGGGAGTTCTCTGTAATTGTTTAAAACCTCAGGGGAGGTTTGTGAAATTATCCCTACATTTAACGACAATTGTTGCTGCTATCATCTAGAACAGTTTTGGTCAGAAAAAGTCCAATTCTTATCTATGAACCAAGAAATTTGTGGCCTATTCATTATCCAAGCGACAAATACCAAATTTTGTCGTCAATTACCTTTGCTGGCGTGGATTTGCCACCGATCTTGGCTACCATATTCTGTCCTCGGCGGTTGTGTTTTACTATGACTTTATGACTTTTGACATTGCAAAATTCGTATCTGATTCCTAATTTCCAAGTAGATGTCTGTTTGTAACACTTTCAATATAAAAAATTCCACTGTGTAGTGTAATGTGAAAATGTACATTTTTTGGGCCAAATGTTTTATTATTAGAAGGATCTCTTTGAAAATTTTCAAATCTATAAGGGTGAAATTTTTTTTTGCTAGATTTCCAGGGGGTGGTGGCCTCTCCGTGTCTTCTTCCATATACTTGTAGAAGCAAAAGCTTTTGAAGCCAAGTCAAATAATTGGAGTCAAAGCATTTCTTTCTATTAACCTCTTCTAAATTTTCTATCCCACCTCTGCTTTGTCCCTATTACATTGCTAAGTGTCATTAAACAAACCTAAGTCATTAAACAAACCTAAGTCATCATAATCCTAAACCTTTCAAACGTGGCTACGTCAACAGAAAAAAGAAATTATTGTAACGAAAAGCAATAATAACAGAAAACAAAAGTGGTGAAGAAGAACCCTAAAAAGCCTCCAAAATCATGGTAAAACAATTCTTAAAAAGAGTTGCATGAATACCCAATAAAAATTTTTAAGAACACATTACAACCAAATTTAGGGGCGTACTGTGTCAAAATGTTGGAGTTTGTGGAGTGCAAATTTGAAGCGAACAACAAGTTAGGGGTGTAGGTGAAACTTGATCAGCTAACTAACAGGTTGTGATGTGTATGTAACTAACAGCTAACTAACACTTGATCAACAACTTTCTCAATGCCGTTGAACAGAGAGTTAAAGTGGGGCAAATATAAATGCTTAGACTGTAAGGTATCTAAAATTAAAATTCAAAGCGTAAAGTGAGAATCAGTTATAGCTAGGGTATGGGACACAAGGTGGAATTAGTCCAATTAATGTCCTAATTTGGCTTGCTCAGTCATAAGGTCCTATTTTTCATCTTAGCTTTATTTCAAAGACATTAATTTAGTTTACTACCTGAATTTTCCACAAAAGACTTCAATTTGAGAAATCATACATGAACATTACAAAAGTCGTTCAAATAGCACTTTAGATATGTGGCTGCTCCTAGTTTCCTTGGAACAATAGGCCATGTAGTAGAATGCTTTTGCAACTATCAGAAATGTTTGCTTGACCATTTGGCATACGTTCTCAGGGGGACTTTGAAGCACCA